CTAATAGGATTCTTGTTGATGAATTGATAGGCCAAGACTTGTCCCTAATCTATCAGGATATGGTGTCCGTTTCTTGGTTCAATGTCTATGAACAATTAAAGATTCTGCTACTGCCTTACCCAACTGTCTTAATAATGTTGTATGGCTATAAATATGTTGTCTACTTGTCTTTCTTATATTACATCTTTACATGTTAAATTTTATTTGTAAGGTCTAGAACTTTCAAAAGATGCAATAATTAAGAATCTATTTGTCGTGTTTAGTGTTTCATTATGATGCAAGTTTGTAAAAAGTTCAAGTTGATGATGAACAAAGTCAAATCTTAGGCATGCAAAGATGGCAACGATTTTGATTGAGAATCAGAATCAGAATGATGAGGGAATGAGACTGAAACAGAGATTTCTTACCGACCAAGCATATAGGAAGTTGTAAGCATATAGGAAGTTGTTTTTCTTTGAATTTATTTTTTTTTAATTTTTATTTTAAAAAAAAAAAAAAAAAAAAAAAAAAAAAGCCCTTGAGATTCTTTACAGAAAACATGAGTACAAGAAAAAGTGAAGATTCTCTACAATCGGGTGAAAAAGATTCCCAAACTTGTGTTGGCGTTCCCAAAAATAATCCAATCCTTAACCTGCAAATTTTTCAAGCTTAAGACCGTCATAAAGGGAAAAGAAAACAAGTTAATGTACGCGTAGACCAATATCTTAGGAATTATTCATTTTTAACTTGAAGAGTGAAGAAATTTTATGAGCACAAAAAAAAAAAAATGAGTGAACTAAATTCAACACACTCTTGTAGATAGTCTGATTATCCAACAGCATTTGTGTTCCTACCAATTTTTGAAGCAATTAATGATGTAAATCGATATAAAACAGAGAAATACTTGCACGCTTAAAATTAAATGTTGTACCATATCCGATTCAGGAGGGGTATCGATTTCATACCAATTTTTCATTGGGAATGTCAGTTCTGAAAGGATGGACTTCATTGGTTTTCCTAGACCAACTGTATTCTCTCCATATATTGGGGATCCTAATTTCTGATAAGGTATTGTTCCAAAAAAGGAATGTTCTTGTGAAATACTTGTCTTTTTTGGAAGTAAACCTAGTCAACACATGATAACTCCATCTGATTCTATATATTATTATACGATATAAGAAAGAATCGTGATTCAGTTGAACTTTGGAAAACCGGCGAAATCCATCCCATTACACTTCTTCACTATCTTTTTCATTATAACCCACTCTTCTTCAAAGGCTCTGCTTTAGAAATTAAATCCCATAAGAGTATACTAGTGAACCAGCCATACATGCTCTAAAATCCTAATCATATTTTAAAACAAGTGACATGAGAAGTTCAAACATGAAACAACTCAATAATATGTATCAATATAAAATAAAAGAAGAGTCACGTGCTCAAGAAATTTAATGTAGCGTTCTGGTCGTGAATTTTGATGTTTTGCGGCCTTGCATTGGCCTACTTCATTGGAATGGACTTTGTTGGTTTTCCTAGACCAGTCGAAGTACGATTCTCTCCGAATTTTGTTATCATCACGGAGTACGTATTGTTCCCAAAAAAGAATATTCTTATAAAATAAGAAAGAACAGTAATTCGACTGTACGAGGAAAAACCGTCAAAATCCATCCCATTACACTTCTACTTATCTTTTTCATTATAGCACACTCTTCTTCAAAGTCTCTGCTTTAGAAATTCTCATGATCTTCTTCAACACCACAAGGAATCTACAGATATAGCGGTTGTTGTATTATTAGGTTAACGTCGTACATCCTTTTCATGTTAAACAAAAAGAAAAAAAGAAAAATTGTACACGTATGTACAACATAGTTACATACATAAGCCAAATAAACTATTAATAAGACAAAACTACTACTCTAAAATCATGCTTGTCTGTTGTCAGATGGAGGAAATAAGACATACAACGTGACCTAATACATGCCTAAGACGGTTTAAACAACAAAATATGTCAAACGATAAAAGCAGGCAAAGGAAGGGAGCTCGAAAGCTCATAAAAATAGAAGAAAGCTTCTCCTATTATTGATTATATAATTTTTACTACACTTTTTTTTTTTAAAGAACAGAACATACGTCTTTTTATTTTTCGGAAAGAAAATTACTTAATTGAAAATCAACGTCACTAGGGCTTGAAAGAGGTCGAAGCTCGTAATGTATTCACGAATCCTAATTTAACTAAAAGACTAAACATACAAAAATCCTCATCTTATTAAAACGTTATCTACATTGAAAAAGAAATAAAGAAAACAGAGAAAGAAATAAAAACTTACCGGAACAGAAGGCTCATGGAAAACTTGGAATGAAATTGTCATGTGAAGCTTTAAGGTACATGCCTTATTTATAGGCGGACAATCCTAATCCTAGTCTAGTTTATGTTAAAAGTCCAACTATGGTAAAACTTCAAAATAAAACTGTTAGGTATTTTTATTAGTTAGTAATTTATTGGCAATTTTGTAAAAATTCAAAAAATAAGTTTGAGAAGATTTCGTATTGTAGAAGAAGACTCAGAATAAGATTTGAAGCTAAAGTTGCAGATTTTGTTGAGTTAAGATTTGGAGAGATAAGGATAATACCCTGGTCAAAGAAAGATAAGGTAATATTTATTTGAATTTAAATGTGATTCTAGAAAGATATAAGGATCAAAAAGATTATGTAGATATTTTATTGTGATGATTATCTGATTTTTGGCTTTTGGTTGGATTCAAATTTAAATTGACTTCGAATTGCAATGGAAGATTGATTTGGCAAGAGAAAAATCCATATATATATATATATATATATATATATTTATTTATTGGGCATTTGGAATTTGGGTGATGTTTGAAATTCAAAGTGGCTTGCATTACGTGATGTTATCCACATGGAGCCAATGTGATAATTAAGCCATTGTGAAGATATTGTGCACATGGAGATAATGAAGATGAGCATGGAGATTTGAAGTTTGAATTATATTTGAAGAATAAAGTGAGTGCTACAAACGTGGGATAATTGAAGAAAATGTCCAGATAGAGCAGTTGGTTAAAGAGGAGATAATTATTAGATATTGATGAAGTTATTTGAGGTTGTCATGGAGTACAAGTTCTATATAAACGGCTCCAGGATGCTCATTTGTGGTACGGATTTAATTGAAGAGAGTTCGTCAGATGAACAGAAGACGTGTGGTGCACGCTAAACAATCACTGTGGAGATTCGTCACAGCATCGTTATTGTCTAGGAGGGAGTCCTTAAGTGAATAAATCCGTATAGTGCCTGTAATTTGTAGAACATAGTGAACTGTTTATTGTCTAGGCGTGGCCCTGCAAATGTAAGTGTGCGTACCGAACTACAATATCATATTGTGGGTTCATTTACTTTCTACACTTTATTCTGCTCGAGTAACTGTACGTAATTAATCCGGATCTTAATTAATTAAGTTGTGTTCCAGATAGTGTTCCAACATAATCTGGAACACCAGACGTAACATCAGATCTAATAAAAACCTTATCTCCTTTCAAAAGAAAATAAAAAATAAAAAATAAAAAGCTTTGCTTCCATATCCACTAGAAGCAATGAAGGTTTCTAGGACATGACCTGGCAAAATCACCTTAAAGATGTCGACAAAAATGGAAAACAACAACAAAAATTGAGAAACGGCAAATTTAAACGTAGCAATAAATGAAAACGATAACACGTTTATTGGAAGGATAAACGAACGTAACATATAGTATAAAGAAGATCCTTTCAAACAAAAGCAAACTAAAAAAGAAAGAAAGGAAAGAATTCGTATTGGGAAAGGGCAACAAGATTTGGATACGAAAACGACAATACATATAAAATAACGACAGCCGACATCTTCAAGCCTCTCTACGAGGTCATCAAAACTCCCCGTCTAAATATGGTACTTAAGACAAACATGCAAGTTAAAGAAAACAGAGGGATTCCTTGATTAGTTCTTAAGTAACATGTCAGTGTTTGGAACGTTGCAGGCTTTGTGGAAACAAGATGAGGTTGCTGTGGAACAAGAACAGTAGAGACAACATCAGTATTTTGCAATCCTCATTCACCGAGAACTTGTTCGAATGCGACTTAGTACGTTTTTATTGACTTTGTTCATCCATCTGAAGCGGCTTATAGGATTCTTGCTGACAAGTTGATAAGCCAGGGCTTGTCAAAAATTTAATCAGGGTATGATATGTTTCTTTCTTGGTTCAATGTCTATGTAAAATAAAAGACTGAGCAACTGCCCTACCCAACTATCTTAATGACGTTTGTACTGCTATAAAATTGTTTTCTTTCTTGTATTACAAGTTGTTAAAAGATGCAATGGTTAAGAATCTTTTTGTCGGGTTTAGTTCGTTTCTTTATGATGCAAGTTTGTAAGAAAGTCAAATCGATGATGAACAAAGTCAAGTCTTAGGCGTGCAAAGATGGCAGTGATTTCGAATGAGATTGAGAATCAGAGAAGATGAGAAAATAAGACTGAAACAGAGATTTATTACCAATCAAGCATATAGGATTTGTTGTTTTTCATTGCATTTATCATTAACCAAAAAAGAAGAGAAAAAAAAAGTCCTAAAATCAATATACCCTTTAGGCCTTTACCCTTTACAGAAAACATGAGTACAAGAAAAAACTGAAGCTTCTCTACAATCAGGTGAAAAAGATTCCAAAACTTGTCTTGGCGTTCCAATAAAGTATCCGATCCTTAACCTGCCCATTTCTGAACACCTTGAGTCCAAAAGCTCAAGACTGTCATATAGAGAAAGGAAAACCAACAGATATTGGATGTGAGAAATCATCAGTGAAAGCACAGAGGAAGTCACAAGTTAATATACGTGTAGACCAATATCTTAGGAATTATTCATTTTTTACTTGAAGAGTGAAGAAAATTTATGAGCACAACAAAATAAAAGTGCGAACAAAATTCAACGTACTCTTGTGGAGAGTCTGAATATCCAACTGCCATATTGTTCCTGGAACCTGGGATTTCAAAAATTGTTAATAACAAACCCTGGTGAAAACAGAAAGAAATATGGCTTTGGATAAAGCATATTTCTTACATAGTACTGATTCAGGAAATCTTGTGACGAAAACGGATTCAGTACTCCAACATTGCTGCCAAAGTGTTGATAGGCAGTTGGCTGCTGTTGAAGAGAGCATGCAACAGAGTTAGGATAGTTGGTGCAACTTTGAGAAAGGGCAGCACTGGAATCAGTCGAATTTTGAGGCAAAATTTCCGTTGAAGATTCACATAGGGGAATATTGAGGGGGACATAATCTTCATACACCCTGTGGAATTTATATGGTCTCTGCCGAGCAAAAATCAAGCACAAATGCCTTCCTTCTAAGACGGAACCTGAGCGAGAATAAATTCAAGTTAGAAATAGAGAAAAAGGTATTGAGGCTCAATGAGATTTAGTCTGTTGAACTCTATGCTATACCGTTGAGTGTATGCAGAGCCTTCATTGCTTCTTCATGGGTGGAGAAACAAACGAAACCGTATCCCTTACTAGTGCCATCATTGCATCGCATCACTCTCACTGATATCACTTCTCCACAGCAACTGAAATGATCTCTCAGTTTGGCATCATTCACGGACAGGTCTAGGTTTTTGACACACAAATTATTTGTGGCCTTAAACTTTTCAAACTGGCAGTTGCACAACTTCCTGCCAACTTTTTTCCGAGCCCTTTCCATGAACAAATGCTTTGAACCTAATCCACAATTCGACACCCTTTTATCAGAGAAATGCTGCAGCTTTACATCTTTTTATATTATTTGATGAAGTTTTAGTGCATACCTAGCAGCGAGCCGTTCAACTTTTCAACAGCGTTATTAGCGTCTTTATGCAACTCAAACTTGACAAAGCCAAAACCTCTAGAATTGTCATTGCTGTCCTTCAAGATGGTTACTTTAGAAACCTTCCCAAACTCAGAGAACTTCTCTTGTAGGACATGTTCAGTTATATTATAATCAAGGTTCTTCACAAACAGATCAGTTGAAGCTCGTTCTTCATTTGCTGCTGTCCTCACACTTCTCTTGACAAATTTTGATACATATCTAGGGAGAAGAGCATGAAAATAGAAATCAATTGCAAACACATAAGTTGCGAACCAAACAGAAGATCATTCCTGAATATTCAATATTCATAATGAGGTATGACTCAGAATAAAGGAAATAGAGAGTAGGAGACCAAGAGGGCCTACAACTTCTTTCCTAGCACAGTTTCATTATGGAGAGCAGTGATAGCAGCCATGGCAGAGACCTCTGAATCAAAGTGGACAAACCCGAAACCCTTACTTGTCCCATTTTCCTCAGCAACCTTGCAAGATAGTAAATTCCCATACTTGCTGAACAGGTCTTGCAATTTAGCACTTGTGATTGAACGGTCAAGGTTCTTCACAAAGAGATTGCCAACTCCAGACTTTCTTGAAAGAGGGTCTCTTTGAGACCACATGATCCTCATGGTTCTTCCCTTCACCTCAGTGTGGTTTAGGCAAGCAATAGCTTTAGATGCTAATCAGACAGAGAACAAGAATAGATGTATATGAGATCAGACAGAAGCCAAAAAAAAAAAAAAAAAAAAAATTCTTTAGCTCACTGATTTGAACTGCAAGATAGGAATGCAAGAATTAATGCATGTGAATAAAAATATAAACTAAAATAAAATAAGCGAGAGAGAAGAATCAAAACAGGCATTAATAAAGAACAAAAAAAATTATAAGAAATTACTGATAAACCTATTCATCATTGAACAAACAGATATGAAACCAAGAAAAGTACATAAATGGAGACCTTAGTAAAGAAAGCCCAAAAAAAAAAGGAGAGAGAGCAAACTTTAAAAGAAACGCCTATCACATCATTACGCAAACGAGAAGGAAAACCAAGAAGAAACACAGAGAGAAACGGTGAATTACACAGATAGTGAACATTATCGAAATGGAAAAAAAAAAAAAAAAAAAAATTGCATTACATTGCATAAAGTTAAAAACTCATATCGGAAATTCAAAGAAGAATCCTTAAAAAAAAAATCAAAGAAGAATCGAAACCCCAAAAAAATTCAAAGAAATTACTGATAGCGGAATTCATCATTGAACAAACACCTAAGAAAGCCCAAACCGAGCGGGCTTTAAAGAAACGGCTAACTCATAGTCAAGAAAAAAAAAACACACACACACACACACAAGCCATGCGGACAGAAACAGATGAGATGAATTAAACAGAAAAAGAAAAAAAAATAGAAAAATGAAAACCCAAGAAAGAAAAGAAAATTGTATCGCATTGCACAAAGTTAAAAACCGATATCTGAGAAACGAAATTGGGCATGGAAAGGAAGTGATTACTACCATGAGAGTAGAAGAAGAAATTGACGTAGGCGTAGCGAAGGGATTCTCCGGTGTGGAAGTCTCGGCAGAGTCGAAGGGAGGAAATGGGACCCATGAGCTGGAATATGGTGACGAGGTCTCTCTCGGAGACTTGCGGGTCAAGATCACCCACGTACAATGAAGCAACAGGGTCGTACGGAGATAATACCGCCGTTGGTTGTGGTCGCCACGACGGCGGCGCATCGGCCGGTTCTGCCGCCATTTTTGCTTTCTTGGAACGCAAGAAGCTCGTAGAGGAAAAACAGAGAGAGAGAGAGAGAGTTGGAGAGATAGAAGAAAGAGAGATATCAGATTATAATGGTGGGGTGGTCTCTGTTGGTTTTTGATTATATATGTAAGCTCAGAGAGAGAGAGAGAGAAAGAGAGAGAGAACTGGGATTTCAGCACCGGCGTTTTGCGTCATATAAATGTTAAAAGGCGGGAAAGCTAACTGAAATGAGTGTTTCTTGATTCTTTCTTGGGTCAAGCCCATGGGTCATAGAAACACGGAGCCCAAAAGGCCCGGACCACTGCATATGATCATTAATAAAAAACCGTGCAAGATTTTCAGAGTGAGCAAGAACCGATCCAGGAGTGGGTTTTTCGATTTTATGCCAACTCGTCATTGGAAACGTCAATCCTGAATGGACTTCGCTGGTTTTCCTAGCTCAGTTGCATTATTATTCTCTCCAGATATATATTGTTATCACCATGGACATGGAGGATCATAAATCATATACGTGGCATGAAACTGGAAAGAATTGTAACGCAACTGTGCTAGGAAAACCCGCCGAAATCCATCCTTTTTACACTTCTAATTCGAAGGCTCTGCTTTATGACCTCTCATGATCTTCTTCAACAACACAAGGAATCTACAATAGAGCAGTTGTTGTGTTATTAGGTAAACTTCGTACATGTTTTTCAAGTTAAATAAAAAAAATGTTTATACACAAACCTAGATAAACTATTAGTAAGACAAAATTACTAGCAGAAGAAAACTCCCGCCGAAATCCATCCTATGTTCTTTTATTACTTTCTTTTCTCTTTTTTTTTCTTTTTTTTTTTTTTGAGAACATAACACTAGGCTTTTTTATTTTTTTTGGAAAGAAAATTACTTAATTAAAATATCAACGTCACTAAAACAGCTTGACCAAGACGATGATCCTAATATATTCAAGAATCCTATTTTAAGTAAAAGACTAAGCAAACAAAAATTTAATCTCATTAAAACGCTATCTACATTAGTCATTAAATTCTTATAAAGAAATAGGAACTTACCGGAACAGAAGGCTCATGGAAATCTTGGAATGAAATTGCTATGTGAAGCTTTAAGGTAAATGCCTTACTTATAGGCAGACAATCCTAATCCTAGTTTATGTTAAGAGTCCTAACCACAGTCAAACTTTAAAATAAAACCTTATCTCGTTTCAAAAGAAAATTAAAAAAAAAAAAAAAAAAAAAAAAAAAGCGCTTAGCTTTCAGGTTTGTAGGACATGACCTGGCAAAATCACCATAGGATATGTTTAGTAGGAGTAACTACGAAGAGTGGTGGAGAGAGAGGGTAAATTCTTAGTTTGGTAAGGAGGAAGATAAGATATGGAGGGAGTTTTGAATCCTTCCGTTGACTAATCCACTCAAATAAAAATTAAAATTACTTTTCCATCCTCCAAAATAAATTATTAAAAAATAATTTTTCTTTTTTTTTTTTTTGAGAACATAACACTAGGCTTTTTTATTTTTTTTGGAAAGAAAATTACTTAATTAAAATATCAACGTCACTAAAACAGCTTGACCAAGACGATGATCCTAATATATTCAAGAATCCTATTTTAAGTAAAAGACTAAGCAAACAAAAATTTAATCTCATTAAAACGCTATCTACATTAGTCATTAAATTCTTATAAAGAAATAGGAACTTACCGGAACAGAAGGCTCATGGAAATCTTGGAATGAAATTGCTATGTGAAGCTTTAAGGTAAATGCCTTACTTATAGGCAGACAATCCTAATCCTAGTTTATGTTAAGAGTCCTAACCACAGTCAAACTTTAAAATAAAACCTTATCTCGTTTCAAAAGAAAATTAAAAAAAAAAAAAAAAAAAAAGCCTTTATCTT